TACGGTTGCAGAGGAATAGACGATTTTCTGCAAGTCACTTTTCAAGGTTTTTGGTCTATAAAAGTGGCAATTATTATTCGATTTACATAAAATTTTCACCATGTGATGCCTTATGCCATTTCTGATTTCATAAAATTAATTGAACACTTTTGTTATCACCGGAAGTACTGTATACTTACATGTAACAAATGTATAAAATGAATTGATATTGCTGGATTTGGTTCATTCGGCGTCCATTTTATTTGATGTGTGCAATGCTTATGTGGAAACCTGTTTAATGGTTTCATTGGTACCGGAAGTGACATGTTTAGGGTAACGTGGCACCGGTGAAACCCGTCATTACTGCATCGCAGTTCTAGTTCTTGTCTAGTTCATTTCTTTGTTTGGACATTTTTCTGATTACAATATAATATAATGGCTTGGACAGTTTTTTCGTTTCAGATACTAACCGAAATTTCCTATGAGAAAAAATAATGAAATGTATATATGTTAATAGAATATCAAGCTTGATTTAAATGAGATGCTCAAAAAATGGACCATACATTTATCCATTGCAATAAGATCAAAATTGAATATACCACAGTATTCACCCATGTTACAAAATTGTCCTTTTTGTTGTACTTATTGGAATAAACTGTAAGTAGTAGTTATTAGCACACTTTCCGAGGTGTATCGGTGAATATCAGGACAGTTTTGGTCGAGGGGGCCCAGCCGAGGCGGCTCCCGACCAAAACTGTCCTGATATTCACCGATACACCGAGGAAAGGTGCTAATAAGTTACTTACATCACATTTCTATCGAGTATTGTGAAGCAAATTGTGAAAAATAGTATTTATTATCGAGTCGTTTCAACCGAAAAGTGACAAATACTTTCTGCTCTTTCATTATTTATCCCTTTCTGAGCCTCACGTTACATTTCATGGTAGAATGATTTCGCAGTGGAGAGACGACCTGAGTAGTATTTACACGTGCGTCTTGCTGTGATACTCTGAGCGTAAAACAATCACATGTTTGTTTAGACCACATCGCCAAAACAACTTGTCTATGGCGTAGAGGACTGCGATATTATTAAATGTAGTGTAAAGGAAATGCGAAACGTGGGTCATTCCTGGTGAAAGTATGTATCGGCGGATGGTTCTTCCGTTGAAATTTATTTGTAATAAAGTTTATGACTTTCTAGGCGTTTTTTTTTTCATCCTGCTTATTTTCAATGCCTGTGAAGTGTCCAGAGAGAGAACTGTGCCTTCTATCATCACAATTAATTAAAATGATTATTCAATATTCTAATTTATATATTTTGCATATTAATATAAATCAAACCAAATTATGAAATAGATGCCAATTGATATGTATAATAATTGATTTTTGTAATATGTTGTTATGTTAATTTAATGTCATTGTATATGTTTTTGAACTGCCATGTAGTTTCCCCCATTTTGTTTTGTTACTATGATTTTGACTAGTTGTTTCATGTACATTATACTTGTGCATTGTATAGAGCCATCGTTATCAATAGCGATCTGGGTCGGACTAAACGTCCGCTACTTATTGCTTGATAGTTATCTAAAACGGTATAAAAGTAACCGTGTATCAGAAATGAACAGTACTATTTCTGTATAGTTCTGATACACGGATACTATTAAGCATGTATTGAAAATAAACAGGACAGTTTTATCAAAGGTTGCCAGTGGCAACGAGTAGAAGTGGGATGTAACAATGGCCAAATTCAAACCAACTTTATCAGCTAATCCATTCAAGCACGAGCTGTGTCTCCAAAGAGCAGAGCTATCTGTGTGTCACCTCTCAACATCAAAGAGCAGTTCCGTGTGAAAAGCATGCATGAACCGACAGTATAAATTGTAAAATAAAGGCTGGATTCACAATCACAGAACCTGTGGTTTATTAGTACCGTGAAGTAAAATAATAAAGCTATTTCATACAATTGAAAACAGGCGGCTATATGAACAATCGTCTCAATATTAGGTCATATATCAGTATTTTGCTTTCAAAGACGAGCTTGTTACACAGATTTCTATCGAATCTGAATAATGTTCGGCAATGGGCAATATCACCGTGGGTGGAAGCGGGCGCATGTCCCTATTTTCATTAGTATTATTTGATATGTGAATTATCATTTTTTATATATATAGTGAGGAAATTACTTTTTCTCGGTAGTCCTATCTATGACCCAGGCAAGAAACTATACATTTATATATTGATATGCCCACGTGTAGTAAATATAGCAGTGACGAAAATTTACAGGTTTTCATTAATTGTGCAATTTCATATTTATAAACTTGCTTTTGAAACAGATTAATGGAGATTAGAATATATCGAATAATCAAATTGAGGTTGGTTCGGATATCGGAAAATGACGATACAGCATGCGATCAATTTTAAGATGCGTACATTCAGTGGTACGCACGATAATTTGTAAACAAATTAAACCCACAAAAAAGATCAAATATATAAATAACTGCTGTCCGACTATGGTACGAAGTATAAAACACGTAGTATTCATCAAGAAATGAAATACGTATACGTAACTACCCCATGTATAAATCCATGTATAAAGACCTACACTTAACAAAGACCGATCTGTGTAAAACACATGGCCGAACAAGAAATCGCACGGTAAATTAGATTTAACACCTATGCGTCATGTAAACCTCTGGTATACCAAGGTTGTGGACCCTCTAGAGGTCACAATTTGGATCCGATTTTGATGAAACTTGAAATGAATGTTTATGACCCAAACATCTTGGTTCCTTTTGATATTTGCGCATATCGGATCGTAACTTCCTGAATTATGGCCCTTGGTTGTACGAAAAATCACGTTTTTATACGCCCACATTGAAATGTGGACGTATATTGCCGTCGCCCCCGTCCGTCCGTCCATCGTCCACAATTTCTTGTGAACGCTCTAACGCCAAAAGTTATCATCCAATTGTTTTAAAATTGATATATGTTGTTTACATTAGTGAGATGAAGAAGCCTATTCAATTTCAAAATAATTTCCGTTTATTGCGTCTAGAGTTATGGCCCTTGTTTCACTTTGTTGAACCTTGTGAACGTTCTAATGCCAAACGTTAATATACGATCTTTGTGAAATTTATATGCAATATTAAAGTTAGTGAATTTCAACAACTTCTGTTTATTACGTCTAGAGTTATGGCCCTTGTTTCACTTTATTGAACCTTGTGAAAGCTCTAACTCCAAAAGTTATCATCCGATCTTTCTGATATTTACATGCATTATTTAAATTAGTGAAACGAAGAAGCATATTAAATTTCAGCAATTTTACGTTTATTACGTCTAGAGTTATGACCCTTGTTCCACTTTATTAAACCTTGTGAACGCTCTAACGCCAAAGATTATCATCCGATCCTTCTGAAATTTATATGCATTATTTAGATTACTGAAACGAAAAAGCCTATTGAATTTCGACAATTTCTGTTTATTACGTCTGGAGTTATGACCCTTGTTTCACTTTATTGATCCTTGTGACTGCTCTCACGTCAAAAGTTATCATCCGATCTTTCTGAAATTTATATGCATTATTTAGATTGCTGAAACGAAGAAGCCTATTGAATTTCAGCAATTCCAGTTTATTACATCTAGAGTTATGGCCCTTGTTTCACTTTATTGATCCTTGTGAACGCTCTAACGTCAAAAGTTATCATCCGATCTTTCTGAAATTTATATGCATTATTTAGGTTACTGAAACGAAGAAGCCTATAGAATTTCAGCAATTTCCGTTTATTACGTCTAGAGTTATGGCCCTTGTTTCACTTTATTGATCCTTGCGAACGCTCTAAGTGGGCATATACAATGTCAACATAACATCATCCTCAGTCATCAACATTACATGATCACATTGTTACATGGAAAACAATAGGTCTATCCTTCATATTGTTTCCTTTGCAGCCTTTATGACTACATAATCTATACAGCCAATTGACGTCTTCAATTACAGCTTATGGGAATGACAGGCCATGGGAGGGGGGGGGGGGCGCCATCTTGGTACTACTTTGCGCTTCAGTCGGGTTTATTTTATATATACATAATCAATTCTGTAAATGTTTTTAGTGTGGGGGTTGATTATAGTTAATTTAGTTACGTAAGTGGCAGTAGTAGAAAAATCCTAATTTTGGACGACTGATGAACTATACACAAAAGTTTCGGCTTTATCCATCAAATAAATGAAGACGGTAATTTATTCAGAAATATTACTGACGTGAACTTCAAGCCTGTATGTGAATTAACTATGGAAAATTTTCCGAAAGGTGTGTGTACCTATTTGTTGTTATTTTTGTGGTAATCACATACATTAGAATACAACATTCTTCATAACAAATTTCCAAGAATTATTTTTATTGAAGTCTGGTTATATTAGAATTTATTCAGAAATACTACTAACATGAACTTCAAGCCAGTATATGAATTAAATATGGAAAATTTTCCAAAAGATGTACGTATTTTTCCTTATTTTTGTGGTAATCACATACATTTTAATATGACATTCTTCATAACAAATTACCAAGAATTATTTTTGTTATATTACAACAGGCATGGTTTCAATTCCCACAGGCACAGGGTCGCCTGTTCAACCCCGTGGGTTTTCCCCAGGTCCTCCGGTTTTCCTCCCATTGCTAAAGACCCCTACGCAAAAGCGAATTATTGGAATAAAGTAAAACATGTGTTAGTCCCGAAATTACCTAGTTGGTGTTGAGTGGACGTTAAGCCCCATTTCTCTCTCTCTCTCTCTCTCTCTCTCTCTCTCTTGTTATATTAAAGGGAATGGAAGCTTATAATTATTCTATTTCCTACCAGGACCTCATTTAACCCAATTCTGTCCGGTTTGTTTCAAAATGGATTAAGAATGCAAATCAATAGAGCATAGAATATTTCTTGCTTTGTATAATATAATTTTAAATTTAAAAAGTTAACCTTGTAGTTGTTAAGTTGGGCGTTCCTTAATTGTTTGTGTTATTTTACAGATGATTAGTAATTTTGAGAAGAACGTTTCTGACACACTGGATGAATTACTTAAAGAAAAAAACAAACATGTGGAAGATGTTAAAAGACTAGAAACCACAATGATTGATGCGATACGAGCGAAAAAACAGGTTGAGGAAGTACTTGATGGCGAGAAAGAAAAATCCAGTCTAATCACACAAGAATGGGAACAGTTGAAAGAGTCACGAGAATTAGCAGAGAAACGAGCACAAGTCACCCAGGACAGGCTAAATCACGTAAGTGTAAATCATTTACACATTTGTTCATTAAAGATACACTATGGGAGATTAGATAACAAGTTGGCAGCTCTCACTATAATAGTTAAAAACTAGATAATGTAAAGGCAATTTGTTGAAAATTTCAGTCAAATTGATCCACTATGAACCGAGAAATAAGCGATCGAAAGTTCCGCATAGCCTCGGTCATCATTACTAAAGTCGGTACGACAAAAATCCTAATCTTGATTATCCATTTAATCGTTAAATCGAGAAGTAAAGTTAGGCAGCAAATCGTATCATAATCCAACAATTATCGTAGGATAGCGCTGACATCGAGAGTTGATTATGTTCTGGATACGTTAATTAATGTCTAATTAATAGTTTATATAACATTTCAGGCCTAAAGAAAGACCTGCAATAGGCAGATTTAGCTCTTGCATAATGCATATTTAAGAACACATTAAAAACAGATGATAAATTTTGCAAATTTGACAAAATACGTGTTTGGTGCAAAAGGTTGTAAGGTTGTAACCATTGCTGGAAATGCACAGACAACTTCTTAACTGTCTGTCATTTTGTCCAAGGTAAATTTTCTCGAGAGATTTTCGGAAAATAAAAGTATGGTAGACGACTTCTCATGAAGTTCTAAGTTATTTTTTGCCACCCAGCACAAAAAAAAATTGAAGAATGTCGCCCAGTATAATTTAAACCTCTTCGTCCTTCTCTGTACACAAACTCAGCGCTCGAAATTTTAAATTTAATTAAATTTACCACGGCAAACTGCAAAGCCATGGTAAAAGCCGACGCAAACCATGTCTGCCACGGCATAATTTATTTTTATACGCCCACATTTTCATGTGGACGTATATTGTCGTCGCCCCTGTTTGTCCGTCCATCCACAATTTGTTTGTGGACACTCTACAGGTCACAATTTTTATCCAATTTCAACGAAACTTAAAATATAGCTTTATCTCCCTAAGATCTTGGTTCCTTTCGATATTGGCATGTATCGGACCATAACTTCATGGATTATTGCCCCTGATTGTAAGAAAAATCACGTTTTTAGCTTGTGGACAATCTAGAGGTCACAATTTTGATCTGATGAAACTTGAAATGCATGTTTATAACCCAAAGATCTTGGTTCCTTTCGATATTTGCGCATATAGGATCGTAACTTTCTGAATTATGGCCCCTGATTGTACGAAAAATCGCGTTTTTGGCTTATTGTCCCTCCAGAGGTCACAATTTTTATTCAATTTAAAAAAACGTTTTAGTATATCACCATTACACCGTAATGAAGGTTGACATCGAATTTCGTGAAAATTGGACCAAAACTGACGGATAAAATGGACGCCGCTAATATGGTATATCAAGGTTGTGGACCCAGTAGAGGTCACAATTTTAATCCAATTTTGATGAAACTTGAAATGCATGTTTATAACCCAAAGATCTTGGTTCCTCTCGATATTCGAGCATATCGGACCGTAACTTCCTGAATTATGGCCCCTGATTGTACGAAAAATCACGTTTGTAGTTTGTAGACCCTATACACTAGGGATTTGGTATGCATATAGTTTACTTTCAAAACATCGTTCGATAATTGATAAAAATCGTTTAAGAATTACAAAAAATTATTTAGTTAGTACTCTTGCTTAGTTTAATGGTAACGGGTTTAGTTTCTCCGAGAGGCGTTTATAAATAGACGACCCGTTCACTTATTTACGGCGTTTATTTATTAGACGAGCCGTTCAGTTTCCCGAGATACATTGAAAAATCAACACACGGTTAACTTATCTACGGCTTTTACTTGTTAGGCGATCTGTTTACTTTCCCGAGATACGTTGAAAAATCAACACATGATTAATTTATCTACCGGCGTTGAACTATTAGATAAACCTTTTAATTTCCCGCAAGACGTTCATCCGATCGGTTCATTTTGATTACGATTATTTACATATGAAGTACGAATAAAAGAGGGGAATATAAAAAAAATGCACACCCATAGATTATCACCTTACCGCGGTCGTAGTATTATTTATTATCCATTACCCTATAAAATTAGTATTCCACCATTGACAAATACATCAAAAATCGGTAAATCATGTCCCAGGTAATTATACAATTGGAAATCAGTAAATCACGTCCCAGGTAATGTATCTTTTTTAAATCACAAATGAATTAACTAGTCTTCCATCTGTACACGTGGTCATAAGTCAAGCTTACAATGGCAGTGCGATAATCTCGCGAGACTGTACATTAGACTGGCGCCAATCTCTATAGACAAGCTGTCGCCCATTTTCAGACAACGTAATTACTTGATTGGGGGCTTCTGCGCAATTTAGTTGATTATTGGGTACAGGTGTTGAATTTTGGTACTGATTCAAAATCAACATTCCCGAAAAAGAAAAGGGTTTATAAATAAAACCGAACATATATTTAGCTATGATAATCTAATAACAAAAACCAATTGTATGTATTTATATGTATGTACACTAAATACTAAAAACAATCACAAATAACAGCATGAATACTAAAAACACAACACTGGAAAACAATCACTGGTTTATGCACAAAAAGAAATCAAAATTGGAAAACAATCAACGGATTTATATATAATTTTATAACAAAAAGCAAATTGTATGTATTGATAATGTAAATGAACCATTTAAATCCTATACCACAGTCTGTTAAAATTGTTAATAAAAATCTGTGTCTTTAAAAATCTTCCGCTCAATCAAAATTCAGAGCCAAGCCAAACTAAGTCAGAGTTATTTTAGTATTCAAAATAAAAGCAACTTTTATGTTGTGAAAGTCGACTTTTAACTAGGATTATCATATTATGTGTGAAATAGCTTTATTTAACGCCCGCTTCCACGGAAGTGATATCGCAGACAATTATCATATTAGTCACTAATCTCCTCTTAATCTATATTCCCATACACATTAATTCCAGAAAAGGCCTGTGTATACACGGTATTATGAGCTATTCACCTTTTGGTCAGCCGATTGTTATTGGAATATAGGATGGAGTTATGTGTTAACTTTACTATGACAAAGGGAGAAGACGACCCGCCCTCTCTTCTTTGACAGCTAATTTATAAGTGTGCTTTAAGAAACTTCTGGTATCCGAGGACCTTTTTATTTTGTGTTTTTAACAATTTTCAAGTGTAAATAATTTAATTAAATCAACCTGTCCATAATATCATATTCATTGTATTGGACGTTAAATCTTTAATAAACAACAACAACGTCATAAATGAACGTTATTACAGTATAGATTAATTATTTGATTGGTCAAATGCTATTGTTTTATTAATTCACACCTGTGGTCAAGTGCCTGGGTGCCATATGAAACCATGTTTTTGAATATGCATGTTCATAAGTACAGTATGGATTAATTCTTTGATTGGTCGAATGCTATTGTTTTATTAATTTTCACCTGTCTGGGTGCCATGCAAAATCATGCTTTTGAATGTACAGTTGAGTCATAAATGTCCCTTTTTTATTATCATTAATTATTTGATTGGTCGAATGCTATTGTTTTATTAATTCCCACCTGTAGTTACCAGCCGGGTGTGGGTCAGTTCATCCCACAACCATTTCACCTCGGACTGTTTCAAGTTTCAAGTTTTTATTACCCTTGAGTCAAGACTCATTGGAAATCAAATGAGCTGGTGGACAGAAATAATTGCATGTCAACAAAACAAAGTTTAATGTTGAACAAAGGCATGTTTTTCTCAATGCCCTTGACAAGACAAGTTCCTGTCTGACAAGCATGCGTTGCCATATCAATTAAATACGAAACTAAATACTCAAATGCGGCTTATAAAAAAGGTTCTTGCTGTGGTCGACTTTAGTCGACCGTGACCACTTAAGCTGTATAACCTGATGATTATAGGCGACAATGACCGGTTAAGGGTTAACCTAATAAACAGTTACAAGTTTGAACATTCTAGTTCAATTAGAAAGGGGGGAGGGGGAATATTACAAAATATAAATAATCCTAGTCAGTACATAGTTTATAATTTATATACCTGTACTAACAAGATGAGGAATTACTACAGAACTAACCTTCTAGACTTATTTCACTTAAAGACTTCCCTTTTATACTTGGAAATCTGACCCTGTTCTGTTGCAAGCAAAAGCTTGGAGACCTTTGCGATTTCCACTGTTGCCTCTTGCAGTTTATAAAAGTCATTGTGTGTCTTGACTGTGTGTGCCAGATGATTGGACAGCCATTCTGTTTCTCCATTTGTCAGATCCATTATCTAAATGTAAAATATTTTTTTAAAAAAATCAATTAAAATTTCACTAAAAGACAAATGGCTGATCATGGTAATTGTGCATTTGCATACAAACAGGTGCTTACAGGAAACCGTTTGGCTAGTAAGCATTTTCAAGACAGTTGGAAAATGACAGTAAATTAATGCTGAACTGTGATCCACTTTACACACTATACATGTACATTAATTAGCTATCTGCCCAATATATTTTTCCTACCGTTTTCTACTATAAGGAAAATTTTCACTATATATTTACAATCTGCCCCTTTTATATTTTATCATATGCCTGGAGTATACCTCCATCTATACACAAATTTGAAATCTGCCAGGTATATATGTATTTGATAAACCTCTTGCTATATAGTAAAATTCTGCCAACTATATCATACCATCTGCCCTATAGATTTTCCCTACTGTATCTAGACATTCTCCTTTATTTAAAATACAGATGTGACGTCATCCTTTGATGTTGGAGTACCATTATTTCAAATAATCGTACGGGCCAGGGGCACAGATCGCCAAAAATTAGTGGTGGGGACAGTCCATGCACGGGCAACTATTGGTAAAGAGGCCCCCGCTCCCCCGAAATTTTTTGAAAACTAGACGCTCTAAAGCGCACTCTGTGGGTATTTTCAGCATCATTTTCTGGCAAACATTTCTAATCCTTGAGGCAGCAAATGCAAATGATACGAAATCTAATCTAAAGACAAATCTTCAAGCCACCATTCACGATTTATTCTTTCATGTACACTACAAAAACTAGAAATGGTTCCACTACTGATGTCTTCCTCCTTACTCCAGCCACAGTAGTGGCTCGCCCTACGGAGTTCCTTTGCGCACGTTTTTTTAGTCAAATGAATACAAAAAGTTTACTAGCCTATAGCCCCCTTAATTTACACATAAACTGACCCCAAACTGTACTGCACATAGCTTAACATATAATAAACTAATTCCCATTGAAATAAAGGTGATGTCTTACCGCATAATTATATGATTTGATGAAACCCAACTGTTACGCGAAATTTGGCGAGATTTCATCTGGCTGGTGTCATGGCGGCTTACATTAAAAGCAATGTTGGTTTGAAAATGTAGAACGCATAATTGCCACAAACTAAAACTGTTCAATAACTATTTTAGCGGTTCAGTCTTCACTATTTGTGACAGAATTACTTATTTCAATACAAACTGTAATGATGTGTTGACAATTGCGCGTTTGAAACTATTTGTACTTGCGTAAGGATTCTTAGACTGTATCAATTGTAGATTAAACACAGTTTAACGGTATGACATTTGTAGCTATACAAGAACTAGAAATATTTACACTACTGAGATTCCAGCTCCGCCTCCATTCCCAGTAGTGTTTGAAGACTACGTAAAGTCTTTGAGCAAAATGTGTATTCAATTGGATACACAAATGTACAGGCCTACAAATCTTTTAATTTATATAAACTAAAACAAGCCACACACACAGCAAAACATATCAATATTCAATCCCAATTGAAATAAATGTAACATTTTACATACAGTATACCAGATAAAAACAAAATCTCAGTTATTCCTTAAGCCTTTTCCAGCGTATCAGATGTGCACACCTACATGATATACATATTATTATAATCCCTCTGGAATATTTTAATTATTTACTGTTATTATATGAATTATCACTTATTCCCTGTTAAATAAAAATCGGTTACCGGGTGCAGCTGTACAACGACAAGTGCCTGGGACCAACTCTACACTTTCTGAAATGTCAATAAAAGCTCTGGAATGATTTCAATTTCAAAAAATAAACAGTAAGCAAACATCGGAAATAAGTGATGATAAGTCACAATATATCATGTCCCCACCACTGAAAATATTGGTGAGGACGCGTCCCGGTGTCCCCACCGGGATCTGCGCCCATGGTACGGGCAATGTGCCAAGCGTAACTTCGTAAAATATTGAACTCGAGTGACGTATTTCATTGCAAAGCACGTCCAAGTGTCTACTTAATGTCTCGCTCTCGACCATTAAACAATACATATTTATTATCTGCTTCCTATATTACATCGTCTGCCTAAGTATACAGATAAATGCCTAGAAAACCCTGATCAGATTGTCCTACTATATTGGATCAATATTTAATTCCCCTTTGACCACGAAAGTTATTTTCAAAATTATGTAAACTGCAATTGTGGGTACGCAAATAGTGTAAAAGTATGTAATACCAAGGTTGTGGACTCTCTAGAGGTCACAATTTTGATCCGATTTTGATGAAACTTAAAATTTGTGTTTATTCCAGAGATTTCGCTTTCCTTTGATATTCATGCATATCAGACTGTAACTTCTTGCAAAATGAGGGTGTATCTTGCATGGCAACCACTTGATGACCCATTCAGATGAAACCTAAACTATGTGTCAAGGATCAAACTAAAATTCGATGAGAAGCATTGGGACAACGAGAGGATTAGTCCTATTGATTTCAGACAACAAGAGGATTAGCCCTATTGATTTCTCCTGTTCTCCGTCCATTTCTTGCAAAATGTAGGGGTATCTTGCATGGCAACTGCTTGTTATTCGATTTTGATGAAACTTAAAATGTATATACTGTATCTCAAAGATCTCGGTTACTTTAGATATTGACGCATGTCGGAGCGTAACATCCTGGATTATGACCCCTGATTGTTTGAAAAATCATTGTTTTAGCTTGTTTTCTGTCCATCTCTTGCAAGATATGGGCGTATATTGCATAGCAACTTTGTGTTTGAATATTTTAATAATGATGCTCAAAAGGGAAATGAGTATGTAATTGCCGCATTCAGAAGTATCGCCTTTTTTGTACACCCACATTGTTGTCGGCCCGTCTGTCCATGGGTCCGTTATCCATCAGTCCTTCTGTTCATGTATCCGTTCACATTTTGTTTGTGGACACTCTACAGGTCACAATTTTTATCCAATTTTGTCGGGGAGCCACAGAGGCTAAGTGAGTAAGGCGGCAGATAATTAACTGTTGGTCTTCCTTCTTTTTGATGCAATTTAAAATCAAATTTCTTATGCTGTATTTCTGCTCAGGAACAAGATGAGTTTTATAGACGAGAAAAAGAGTTGCTGACTAAAATAGATGAAGTTAAAGATGCTAATCTTAAAGTTATGCAAATGGAAAGGGTAGGTTTCATTATACTTTAATATAATTAAATCTACTGGCAGGAATTAGGCAAGGTTCCTTTGCAGTAGAGCCAAAACAAGTGTTTTTCTGTCAAATAGTTTCCAACAGAAACTAATATTCTTGGTTGTATTCGCTTGGCGACAAAGACTGTAACTTGTAACCGCAAACTTAATTCTTGTATAACCAAACTGATCCCATTAACCCTCCAAATGACGATCCACAGATACGTAGTTTCAAGAAGCTTTAATGATGAAAACAGGGTTGGTAGTAGGGCTCACACACATGTGAAATAATAAATTAATAACCAATTTCAAAATACAAGAATAATAGTAGAGTAGCATGCAGACAGGCGTTGCAGGCAGGTTGTACTTGTAAGTTATACAGGTGCAGGGTTAAATAAGCTTACAGGTGTAGGCAGGGTTTCAATCTGAAAGTGAATAGATATAGGAGTACATATAATTAAACAATTTTAACGTTTATACACTATTAATATTTTCGATAGTTCGTTGAGAATGTATGACAACGTTTTCTATTATTCAAGAAATTTAGACGTGACAACAAAATATGGACAGAGTCTTTATCAACAATAAATCACATCAGTTCGTATAGGAAGTCTTTTCTCGATCAGCACACGTGAATCAGTATTTAGTACAATGTTTATTCTTTCTTTTCAGCTTACCATATGATGCCATACGAAATATTTATAAGTTGAATTCACCACAGTGAAAGTATAATGTTTGCCTTTAGAAAAACACTTAGAAACAATGGCTTCCATTGAAAATAAGCTGTTCATTTATTACACACTGATTGGTTTACTGAAGCACTAATCGCGCTTATCGTTGGTTAATTATGATGACATAAGTTCACTGATCGTTGAACCGAGACAGCCTACGAACTGCACGGCCACTGCAGGTTGTTTTGGCTAGTGGGGGGCGAACTTGATGCATAGCAATCATTTGCTGGCACACGGTAAACATCTGAACTGATGAAGGTCTTAACCTGATTTGAATCGAGTTTTGATTCTGATGAGCTTTCCTTAGAAACACTATCGCATGAACAGTCTGTAACATTATCACGCTCTGAGGTAGACTCCTGCCATTTGATCTTGAGCTGAAGATGAAGATTTTTCCCACAAGCGAAGTTGTTGACGGTGGTGACTGATTATCAAAAGATCTACCAAATGATCCTTAGATGGGAGTATTACTGGTTCTTTGGCTTCCGGGTGCAAATGTGAAAAGGTCAATCCGCCACTTGTAATGATAAGTCTTCTCTTACTGTCCCAGACAGGTTTAAATTTGACAAGTTGACTTCCCTTAGGTATCGATGTTCCTTCTTTTAATGCATTAAACTCTCCTAGGAAATGGGTCCACTGAGTATAGCGGAGTAGTAGATCCTCTGCTTCCTTTAATTCAATAGCCATCAGTGGTGCAGGTTTTCCTGGGACAGCAAAGGATTCAGTTTGACTGATCGGGCGGGTAGGTTCTGTTTCCAAACAAAATTCAGTCATCTACGAATGTAACCAGCACGGTGTAAGCAACGAAAGTAATCGTTGGATGAATCCAATATAAAAGAATGATCGGTAGATACAGGAAGTGAATTACTTTGTGCTTTTGCCTCTTCATGGGCAACATCCTCTTCAGTTGGCTCTGGCAGAGAAAGAGATGGCCAGGAAGAGACGGGGTGTTGTAACCAGCTAGGGCCTGATCAATAAAGCTGGTTATCCAGGAGATCTGACAAACTGGAGCCTCTGAAGGGAATATCTGCCGGGTTATCGATTCCAGCGATGTGATGCCAATTGCAATCAGTTGTCAACTCTTGTATCTTCTGGACCCGATTACGTACATATATCTTCCACTCATAGCTAGGTCTAGCAAGCCATGCCATAACAATGGAACTGTCACTCCATAGATGCACTTCAAGGTGGGTATTGCTAAGGGCTTCCCTTAAAAAGGTGACAATTTTAGCAAGTAGCAATGCAGCAACAAGTTCAAGCCGAGCGATGGTGACAACTTTCACTGGGGCAACATTACTCTTCGCCAACAAAAAAGTAATGTGGATCTTCCCTGTTGTGTCCACAACCTGTAAATAGACAACACAGCCCAAAGGGGAAGATGAAGCATCGGTGAATCCACACAACTGTGCTTCGGTGACCTTAGGAGAGAGTTGAGTCCAATGTGGTATCTTAATCTCTTGTAACTTCCAAAGTTCGCTCTCCCAGTCCCAGGTTCTGTAGGCGGTCTCCACCTTCTCAGCAACAGGGTCATCCCAGTCATATTTCTGCTTCCAGAGGTCCTGAACTACCATTTTCATTTGCAGGGTGAACGGGCAGACAAATCCAAAAACATCAAAGATAGAGGAGAAGCGACTCACTATTGTCCTCTTTGTGACTTTCTTAGCTGCAATGAGCAAGGCATCTTGAACCTTGATTCCAAAAGCATCTGTTTTTGTATCCCAGACTAGGCCTAGGGTAGTGGAGATCCCAGCTTCCAGTTTTTATGCGCCCACTTGGAAATGTGGACGTAAATTGCCGTCGCCCCCGTCCGTCTGACTGTCCGTCGTCGACAATTTCTTCTGAGCGCTCTATTAGTGAAACAAAGAAACCTATTGAATTTCAGCAATTTCCGTTTATTATATCTAGAGTTATGGCCCTTGTTTCACTCTATTGAACCTTGTGAACGCTCTAACGCCAAAAGTTATCTTCCGATCTTTGTGAAATTTATATGCATCATTGGAATTAGTGAAACGAAGAAGTCTATTGAATTTCAGCAATTTACAATAATTACTTCTAGAGTTATGGCCCTTGTTTCACTTTGTTCAATCTTGTTAATGCTCGATTGATGAAAGTTATCAACCGATATGTATGAAATTTATATCTATCTTTTAACTTGTGAAACAGAGGTCTATTGAATTTCAGCAATTTCCGTCATTTATATCTAGAGTTATGGCCCTTGTTTTACTTTGTAAACCTTGTGAACCCTCAAACGACAAAAATTATAATCTGATCTGTATGAAATTGTCTTGTAAATGCCCCCAATTACCTACAAAAGAATAAATATGCATCAACCCTTGTCGACCACTCAGACGATTTAGCTACTGTGGGCGTATGTTTTGTTGCCTGGCAACCTATCTTTCTTCATCGTCGAAAAATACCACGGTGTTGGGCATCCGTTGTTCGGGAGACAGGGACACTAGAATGTGGCAGGAATTGCAGGAAAACTTTCTTAATTCCCAACCACCTTCAGACAAGACTTGAATGGCATCATGACAAAGTCGCTCTACTTCTTCCTTATCGTGGCCACCAAACAGGAAATCATCGACATACATGTTTTCTTTTATTTCCTGAACCACATTTGGATAGTCGTCTTGATACTGGTCTAGGTGAGGCAGCATTGTTTGAATGGCAAGAAAGTTAGATGAAGTCACACCAAACATCAGTGTGATCATAGCATAGACCTTTGGTGAAATTGTAATGTTGCCACCTCACCATAAGTAGAGTTGATATCTCAATTGAGCCGGTGCTAATCATGTCATGCAAAACATCTTGGAGACATCTCCAGCAACATCAAAGCGATTTGACCGGAAGCGAAGTAGTACTTGGTAAAGATCTGGCTGTAGTTTCGGACCAGGGAGGAGCACATCATTAAAAGATACGGTAAACTATCTTGACTAGTTTTGTGGGAGGCGTCGAAGACGACCCGCAGGGCTGAGGAAGTGGATTCCACCATGAATGGTTGATGAGGTAGGAATACATGTTCTTGACTCAGAGCTAAGTCAGCAAATCCCTTTTATACGCCCACATTGAAATGTGGTTATATATTGTTGTCGCCCCTGTCCTCTGGCGGTCCGGCGTCCACAATTCCACAATTGGTTGTGGACGCTCTATAGGCTAAAGTGAATATCCGATTGACTTTAAATTTATACACAGTGTTTAAGGTCATGAGGCGAAGAAGCCTATTGATTTTCAGCGATTTTCGATAATTACAGCCAGAGTTATGACCCTTGATCACTCCAAATAACTTGTGGACGCTCTAGAGGTCAAAGTTAATATCCGATTGACTACAAAGTTATACACAGGGTTTAAGGTCATGAGACGAAGAAGCCTATTCATTTTCAACGATTTCTGATAATTACTGTTAGAGTTATGGCCCTTGATCACTTTGTAAAATCTTGTGGCAGCTCTAGAGGTTAAAGTTAATATCCGATTGACTATTGATTTTCAGCGATTTCCGATAATTACTGCCAGAGTTATAGCCCTTGATCACTTTGAAAAATTACAGCCAGAGTTATGGCCCTTGATCACTTCAAAAATCTTGTGGACACTCTACAGGTCAAAGTTAATATCCGATTGACTTTAAATTCTAATGTTTTTTTTTATAATTACTTCATGAGTTGTTACTCTTAATCAGATTTTAATGTATTATAAATGTTTCATTACCGGAAAAAGTAAAAATATGCGACAACTCTTGTTGACTGCCCGGACGATATAGCTGCTGTGGGCGTATGTTTCGTTGCCTGGCAACCTTTCTTTGAATATAATCCTCCATAGCTTCGTTGTATTTTTCCAACCTCTCGGTAGATTTGAGTAGTTGTCTCTCAATCCTCAACATTCTTTTAAGAACTACTTCTTGGTTGTTAGCCAATGGAGGAGAGTCATCACAGAAAGGCAATGATACCTCATAGCATCCCTTTTGGTGGTCAAAAATGACACTCTCTTGGAATTTCTGTTGTGCAGTTTCCTCCTCTTTAGTTAAAGTTGAAGCTGGCATTTCGAGACCCCAAGATTCAAGAGACATGTGTCGCTCTAGTTATTCATCTAGTTTCAATGTACCTTTTTAGGCTTTTTGCAAACCATGGCAAAACTATCTAAGTCATGCTCCTGATAGTTAAGTTAATCCAGGTGAGGAAAGGACAGAGAGATAAAAGACGAGAGGACTTGTTGTGACTTCAAATAGGCTGTGCTTGGATAAGCTCCTGATATAGTATATCCAAAGGGAGTTTC